ATAAGCGTCAATACATTTGTGGTTGACCCCCCGTCAGAATCACTGCATAATGGCGTAGTGAAACCCAAGAATAGGTTTATCGAAAGACTGGGAAATGGGATTGAACCACCCTATGGGGCTTCTCTTTCAGGAATCTCTAATATATATAATTGAAGTGGAAGTCAAGTCCGCATGTAAACAAACGGTTTGTTTACATTTTGAACTGCTGTATTTTTTAAAATATGGTGTCTGACGCTATTTTGGTTCGCTATGCTTCTAAATGAATACGAAATAGAGTTTATGTTTAGAAAAATTCGAAACTTTCGAAATTTGGGCAATGTTTACATTAGAGGGACCTCACATTGTTATGAGCAGAACCGATGACCAGAACGGATTTGACTTCCACTTTAAACTGGTTGAAAAAGTAATCATACAGAGAATGCAGTGTCTAGAGAATGCATTTTAAGTCATGTAATCTAAAAATTCGATTCCAGGCATTTCAGAGACTGAATAATGAGATGTGAGAGAACCATGTTCAATTAGGTGGCTCCCTACAATTTTTGAAATTCATAAATTAGATTAAAGGCTTTGAAGAAATATTGCTCGTTAGGAATAAGAAAATGTATATATTTATATATTTAGATATAAAGCAACAATCAAATAGTTGGAAATCGGTCACAAAAATGACGTCACTACTGTTGTATGACAAAAATAACGATTCAATATGGCGGATATTCTAGCTTTTAGCGCACTTTACGTAAATTAATTTCGAATAATAAAACAGCGGCTGGAGTATTCCGACCAAATAATGTTGTTGAATTAAAAATCAATCTTATTCGTCCAGAATCATGTTTATGGGAACTTCATTCATTAATTTATTAATAATATAATGCTATCTTAATAGACCAGCTGGGGGGGGGGGAGGGTGCTGAGAAACGAAAGCATTAAGAACATCGTCCTTGTTTGATACAACTTTACCACACTCACTCGATTTTGATATATCATATTAATTTTTTTTGTTACATTATTTTTTTCTTTATAGCATGAGGCAAGATCTACATGACTATGATCACTTTTGAACAGAAACTTTAATCTGGATATATTTTTGTCATACTTTTGAGATAAAATAAAATATTTTTGAAACTGAAGATTCTTTTGAATTAGTTTCATTTGATACAGTGGCGGCGGAACAACTTCGTACCAAGGGGGGTGGCTAGGGGGCTTTAGCCCCCCCCCCCCCAGAAGTAAAAGTGGAGGGGCTTAGCCACCCAAAAATACATGAAGAATGCCACAAATAAAATAAAAGGACAAATAAAAGTTAAGTGAAGAAGTTTCAGACTTTCCTAATGGGTAATTCCGGCTACAGACGAAATTTTGATCAAAGCAAGAAGAACGAAATCCAACACCACAGCTAGAAAGAGCGTCTCAGTAGAATGAGTAAAACTGCAAAAAT